TCCAGGCCTCCTAAGCCTCCAAACACCAAGGCTTTTTGTTTTGTTTTAGTTTGGTTTGGGTTTTTTTGTTGTTGTTGTTTACTTTAATTCATTTTTATATGAGAAACTGGTCATGATTTATTAACACCTTTGAAAGTGTTCAAAGGCAAACTCATCAAAGGCTAAAGGATTTAGATGAGACATACACATTCAATATATAAGCTTTCCTCTATTTTAGATGTGTTATATAAGTAGTAAATGGATATTTCTGCATTTGCATCCTTAAAAATTGATTGCTCGATGTGATTTTTTTTTTAAGAATGTATACTTGCTCTTTCTATACATCATGTGTGTGTATCTGCCATGTTTCCCTCCAGATAAGACTTAGTTAGAAAATAGCCTTGAAAACTAGAGATGAAAAATGCCAGCTTCGTCCGCCTATCCTTGCCTTACCTGCCTTACAGAGGAGCCTCCGAGCAAGAGAACTGTGATGAGACAGTGGCTTACTCTCATTTCCTTGCTCATAGGGTTCGGGTGATACTGAGATACCATGTGTACTTAAGTTTGACCTTTGTCAGAAAGCTGTTTAAGTAAAATTAGATGATATTGGGGTAGCTCTGGGTGTAGACTGGAAAATTTCCTGGGGGATATTTTTCAGGGTGTATGAACAATACTCAAGGAAAACATTTTATTTTTTCACTATCTGAGCTTTAGAATTTAGAATTAGAGAATATAGTATGTCTATTACTGAGTCTTGCTTTTTCTTAGTGTAACCAGCTTCTTAAATGTCCAGGAATAATTCTAGTTCTAAATCTTGCCAATACAATTACTGTAAGTATAAGATGATGTAGGAAAGTTGTAGGACCTGCTTCTCTTCTTCATTCTTCATTAACCCCAATTCGTAGAGTACATTTGTCATTTGATTTGCCCTGATTTGATGTTTATTTCTCTTGGGAACAGAATACAAACCAACACCCAGTAGATCCAAATGAAAGCTTTTTCTCCAGTGTCAACTATCACTGGAATTTTGTTCTCACTCAACTACTTATTGGCTGACTTTCTTAAGTTATGGTCATTTATTTTATGAGGTAACTGGTAGATCTAACAGCTTGTCTAAAAATAATTATTAGTGTGATTCACCATTGATGTTTAAAATAATTATTTTGGAAACTAATACAGTTCCTAGTTGCCATAGATTCAGATGTAGTAGATTTAATTTCTGATCATTCATTCAGACACATTGTGTTTACAAACCATGCCGCACTTCAGGACTTTGAATATAAATCATTTTATTGCCATAGCTTATGTGTCTATGCCTGGCTAGGGTTTGGCTGGCCCATGTGGGCATCAACTGGGTGACTCTACTAGATTCACTTACATCTCCAAAGCCAGCAGGATGTTAGCGGGTGTTGGCTATGCTCTGCTGGGGGTGGCTTTGACCAGTATTTTGCAATCAGATTTTTGAGGTGCATCCTTTTCATAGTCATGGCAATACTATAGGAATGTAAGCCCACGCTTAATGGGCACATCTCAAGGATCTACCTGTGTTAGTAAGCTAATATGACATTAAGTCAAGAAGGGGCTACTAAAAGATTCCTTGGAAAATGGCATAGATGGAAGGAGAATGAAGACTTGAGGCCAGCAATGCCGCTTACCTGAGTAAGGAGGCACTGACTTGTTGAATCAAAGGCCTCTAGCTGTGCTGCTGGGGCCACTCAAGTTTCTGCCCAATAAAAGCCATCCACAGTGTGAAGTAGTGGAGGCAGAAGCAGCCTGTGTGCATGTGTAGTCACCTAGGGACACAGTTTCCTTACACAGACAATTTATAAATACCATCAAATATGAAGAATAAGAAAAACGACACACATGTGCTGAATACTTGTCCATACATATGTTTACTATTTTGGCATTTTTCTCTTTTGCATTGTATTCGTTAATGGGATATTGCTATGCCCAGATTTTTCCTTCTTATTATACTGTAAATCTGTCTTGTGTTATTACAAAGGCCTTACAGATGTAATATAGATTTCTAGATAAATATTCCTTTGCATAGATGCACCACGATTGACTTAACCTTTCCCTTGTTCTTTAGAATTTTGGTTACTTCTAGGGTTTTGTGGTAATAAATAATGACATAATACACATGTCTATGCTTAAACGTTTACTCACATGTTGAGTTGTTTCCTTGAATGCATATGGGCAGGAGTGCAGGGATCTGTGTTTCACTGCTAATTTCAGTGTAATCATGTCTTGCATGTCATTTTGTTCTGTAAAGTGATTCTTTGAGGTTATATAACCGCAAAGGCTATATATATATAGCCTTACATCTCTAACTCTGAAACAGTTTTCAAGATAGAGGACACATTGCTGGCACTGGAATGGTGTTTGTTTTCCTCCAAAAAACTCAGGTTGGATGAAGCAGCTTCCTAGGACCTCGCTCATAAAAGTCTTTGCAAGAGAAGGTTTCCTTTTGCAGGTGAGGTGTCATAGCTTGCTCTGCAGTCTCCAGGCCCTGAGAGAGCAGCCGTTACAAAACACTGACCATGAGGAGCCGATAAAGTCCTCTTCTAATAACCATTGTTAATTTGCTGTCGTCTTGTTTTGAATTTTATTATTTTTTCTCTTTAAAATAAGTAAATAAATAATGAAGATCCTATAAAGTCCTGACTCGTTTTATGGGGACGTATGTACTTCCAGAATGGTTTCACAAGCACAAAAGAACGCATTCCACTACTCATCTTTATTTTGTCTTATAACTTCGTATTTACTTTTCACATTTATTTTTTGTTTTTTCCTTTGCTTGCCTTGTGGGTTACATTGGATCACAGTCACTGGAGTTGCTCCTTCACGTTAGGGAACCTTCTCACAATTTCTTAGCAATGACAGGGGACTTTTGCCGGGATATTCCTCTGCTTCACATCTCAGTATGCACTGAGGCCATGTTGCATCTTACTCTCTGCCATTCTCTGCCAGTGGTAAATATTGCTCACTGTGGATGGACTTGAAATGTTGATTCCTGGAAGCAGAGGGATGCATGTCTCAAGGCGCAGAGTGGAGACAGTATAAGCTTTGCTTTCTCTCTCCACCTCTCCCACCTGCCACCACCCTGCCCTGTCCTGCGCTCGTCTTCCTGGCAGCAGACAGCCTTCTAGGTCCTTACTTCCTTTTGGGCAAGGTCTTCATCTTCCTTTAGCCCATGGTTCAGTTCCTCTAAGCTGAGCTGAGGCACCCTTCGGGGCCAACAGAATTCTGTGCTAGTGCAGAGCGGTCTCCCTCCTCTGGCCACCATGAATGGGTCCTTTGTTCCCTCGCACCCCCTCCTTCCCTAGGATGTCATCCACACCTCACTATTGACAGAAATCCCCCCCATCGCACCTTGGCTCTTGGCAACCTGTAGAACTCTCTCTAAAACACAACATCATGTTGTACATGTGAACTTGTTTCTATGCCTCAAGAAAGCTGCTTATAAAATGAAGTTTTAATAGTTGTTAACTTTAGTCTTTAGCTCACTGTTCCATCAACCACCTAGCAGCTCTAAATGATTTTCATGGAGTTTTTCATAAGGAAACTAGAGTCAGATTCTTGAGTGTGAGTTCATAATGTCAACAGATTTGCTTTCCTGAACAATAATATGTCACTAAGCCTTTGTGGTGTGCATTTAAAATGTTTTCATACAGGAGAGGGCCATTTCTGTGTTATTTATGCCCAGTTTTTACTAAAATTGGTATCAGCCCAAGGAAGTGGACTTTGGGAACCACTGACTTGTGTTTTCTTGGTCTATGTCTGTTTCTAGCCTGCTTGGCTTTCCTTTCCTGTACCTCCCTGCTTTGCCAGCTGAGGTGCCAACTTAGAAGTAATCAGGAGTTCATGGGCTTCCAGGGATAGAGGTGCTCTGTGTAGTCCGTGATGCTGCTTGGCTACTCTATGTCCCCAAGCCTAGTGATAATCATGATGGCCCTGGAACAAGACAAAACCCAGACTTGGCGAGATCACCCCTCTGCCCTGATCTCATCCCTCCCTTTCAGCAGAGACCAGATGTTTTTAAAAATCCTAAGGTTCCCAAAGGCTGAGCAAAGTGTCTGGAAGTGCAGTTAGGGTTGAGGGATGAAGTAGAATCACAGGGGAAATGAGGGCAAAACCAGAGAGTGGAAGAAAAAGAAACCAAGCAAATAATTATCCAAAATGCAGCTATTGTAAATTATGCTACTATAAACATGATTATGCATGTATCACTGTAATATGATGACTTTAATTCTTTGAGATTGATAACTATATGAGGAATAGCTGAGTCAAATGAAATTTCTAATTTTAGTTTTTTGAGAAATCTACATTCTTATTTCCACAATGGTTGTACCGGTTTACTCCCCACCAACAGTGTAGAAGGGTTCGTTTTTCCCTCAGCCTCAAGAGTGTTTGTTATTATTTATTTATTATTATTTGATTTCTTGGTGATAGCCATTTTTTGGAGGAAGATGGAATCTCAGTGTTTTCTTAATTTGCATTTCTTTTGTGGCCAGTGATATTGAGCATTTCTTCATGTATTTTAATGGCCATCTATACTTCTGTTCATTTGAGTTGTCCATTTTTTAATTGGATCTTTATTTTGGGGAGTTGTGTTTTTAGTGTATTTTTGAGCAAATAGCACATCCACTTGATTTTAAAACCAAAAACCAACTCATTACAGAATGAAAATGTTACTTCCCATTGTTTTACCCACTTCCTAGTCTCTGTTCTGCTCTGCACAGGAAACTTCTGCAAAAGAAACTTCTGTTTCTGTCTCCTCTTCCCTTCCTACTTTCTTTGGAGTGCCCTCATGCAGGTGGAGACCAGTGTGGCTTCTTACATTGCCAGCTGTGTCTTCATCTACTTATCTCCCCCTCACTTGGTTGCTTTATTTCCTTGTGTCCTTGCTTAGATGACTCTTTGGGAGCTTTGTTCTTTTAGAAAGGTCAATGCTCATTTGTTTTGCTTGCAACTGATGCTCCGAGCAAGCTCATGTGTGTTCTTTCTTTTTCCCACAGAAGAGGGAGAAAGTGAAAAGTGGTACCTGTCTATGGACTTTCCTCCAGCAACCATCAAGACAGAGCCGATCACGGAGGAGCCACCCCCAGGACTTGTTCCTTCTGTTACCCTGACCATCACAGCTGTTTCCACGCCTTTTGAGAAGGAGGAGCCTTCTCTGGAAACAGATACTGGGGTATACTCAATTTTCTTTCATTTGCTTAGGTTGGGTCACAAGATACAGAGCTACAATGTTCCAATAAGAAATTTATTCTAGTGACTACATATATTTAAGGGCAGGCCTACAATTGCATGTAACTATAACAATATATATGTAAATATATTCATTACGCATATATGCATTCATGTGCTCATATAATGTCTGTGTTGATTTGGTGTCAGCATTGATTATATCACCAGCTTTACAGGCATTGTCTAGAAAAATTAGTAGCAAAATTGAATTTTCTTTTTATTGCTACTGCACAATAAAAATACTGATAAATATTTCTGGTAAGAAGTCCCTTGTGGTGTTTTTAAGCCAGTGGTAGGGAACTGGCTGAAATGATGATCTGATTCATGGCTCAAAGTGTCATGGCTATTGGGAGTGCTACTTTCTATACCACAGTTAATTTCCTAGGCCAATACTTAACTCCAGAATCTTCCACATACTGATTCACTTTGTATTACCTAAGGAAAGCCTAAGAAATCAAATATTTCTTCCCTGTTCATATCCATGGTTATAGCAAGTAGAATTTAATTTTGTTCTGACTGCTCTCTGGATATTTTCCAATGTCCAACAATTAGCCAGAACCATCCTCATAAATCTTCCCATAGAGGCTAGAAGCCAGTCCTGGTTTTCAAAGCCTTAGCTTGTAAGCATTAGCTCCATTTACATCCAGGAAGTCTGACCTGCAGTAAGCAGAAGTGCTGTCTCCCTGTTCAGGAAGAGGTGACACAGACTCAGCAGCGCATGAGTACACCACTGCCTCCTCACTGTGTAAACAAGGGCTGGAGATGAGGACCCGTGCCTGCCTTTTCAGCCCTTTTCTCAGAAGCTGCCTAGGTCTCTACTGGATGGGCTCTTGGAGCTCCTGAGGTCTGCACTGGTCTCTTTACTCCACAAGTTTTAAGCTCAGCTTACTCTTGAGTATGTATGTAACTGACGAAGCTCAGGCTCTTGCATAGCGTTGCCCACTGTGTAACTGGACAGTTCTTTCTCTGCTCATATTTCACAGTTAGATGCCATCGGTCATCAGGGGTCTTGGAGAGATGAGATGTGGCTGGGTGCACACCCTACCAAAGGACCAACTGGAGGCCTTGGGACTTTTACAAATTATTCCATGATAAAATGCCTTTAGATTTCCACAAAAGCAATAGAAAGAATCACTGACAAGTGAGCCTTGGGTTTTCAGGGTCTGAATTTGAGGTATCCCGTATCCACAATAGCAAATTTGGCAATAAAAAGGTTGAGAATTCGAGTGACTTTCTGGTAAAAGAGCGTCCACAGCCCCCTGAGCTCTAGCAAGGGACTGGCCCCTGAGGCAGACTCCATGACAAACAGCTTTCCTGTCTTTAAACATCATGTTTGAAATTCTTCCTGCAGGTCGATTCCTCATGCCAGACAGTTATTCCTAAGATTAAGCTGGAGCCTCACGAGGTGGATCAGTTCCTGAACTTCTCTCCAAAAGAAGGTGTGTTTGCTCAGGGCACTGCCCTTCCTTCACCCATGCAGGTGCTCAGTCTGCAGAGAAGGGGTCAAGGGCAAGTAGCTGAATCCACACGTGGTGGAGCTTGCTTTGTGGAGTAGCTCTGTTCTTAAAGAAATTTTGGTGCAAATACACGTTTTGAAACTTACAGATTATTTCCCTAATGTACTCAAATGTAATTCCCAGCTAGGTGTTACCACACTTGCTGCTAGCCAGAGTGATTTTTCAAGCTCTTTCTTGATGGCTATGATATAGGTGCCGGTGATAGCATCCACTGTCCTTTGTGCTCCTTGTGTGAACCCCACAAATGCTCTGCAACCCACAGTGCCTCCCCTCAAACACAAACCACGGCACCACTTCCTTAGTGGAAACCACTCACATTTTAGCCCTTTGCAAAGTTAATTCATAATTTATCTACCTGGCCAGTGCAGTGTTTTAAATGTGGGCTCTGGGTTACAACAGCTACAAGGAGCATCCTTCCTTTTTGAAAATGTTCATAGTCTCTCTTTGGGCTTCTTTGCTGTCTATTTACAACTAAATAACAATAAACTTGAAGTCATTTGACTTTGTTCTTTCTCTACATCTCTTTCTCCCTGACCTCCTTTTTTATTCTCCCCCTGAAGCTCACAGCTGGGGCCTTCATCTGACCCTTGAGCCTCATGGATCCTGGGACCCAGGGAAGCCCTCTATGTCTTGTTTAAACAGATGTGCTTGCGTAGATCCTGTCCTATTTAGCTCTGAGCCTTTGACCCTCCTGTCTCTGCCTTTTTTATTTATACCTTTTTTTGTGTGCATGCTGTGCTAGAGATAGAACCCAGAAGCTCACATATGCTGGCCAAATAGTTCGCCACTGAGTTGCAAACCTGGCCTTTCTATTTTTTATTTTTATTTTGAGACAAAGTCTCACCAAGTTGCCCAGGCTAGCTTTGAATTTGCTCCTGCCTCAGCCTCTTGTATAGTGAGGATTTTAGGCATGTGCCACCAGGCCCACCTACCTTACACGTACAACACGTTTAGAAGCACCATTCATTGTGTGGCAACAGGTAAGAAATCAGCATATACGATTGTTAGAGAAGAGTAGAGGGTGCAGTATATAAATGTGTGAATGTTGTGTATGAGCACATCTCATGGAAGAGTCGTCTACCATTTGTCCTTTAGGAATGCGCTGAAGATTTGTGACCATTCCATTAGGGTTGACCTTTTTATTGAGCTTTACTGTTGGTAAAAAAAAAATAAAAAAGGGTTAAATTTTAAAAATTCATCATATTAGCCAAACTCTATATTGAGGTATTCTGTCTTTGCACTGAGTGGTATACATTGTGGTTTTGAGCTCTGTATTCTACTTTAAAGTAATTCCTTTGAATTTTATGGCACTTGTTATTACTATTGAACACATCATGCTCTTTAATACATATTGCATTGTGGTTCAGAAAGTGCCATCACTGGAACAATAGATCCCACAGTGGCTTCAGAATGCAGGGTCACTGGAGGAGAAATGCCTTAAGAATCAAGCAAATAGCAAGCCTTCCTCATTGTCCTGGATAGAGATAAGGAAATTCAATATCCTAGCACACATCAGTGTTTCTAGGCAAAGTGGCTCATCTCGGCCCTTTCAGTAACCCAAGAGTGGCATTTTGGATGATATTTAGTCATCTGACACCCGGGTACCTGTGGCCAGATCAGCAGCTCTCCGTGGGTGGGAAACGTGAGATTCAAGTTCACATTACTCACTTTTCCTGTCTTTTGTGGGGAACCCCTCTTGGAACAGAGGAAAAATATTCGAATACCTTGGCCCTTGCCATTGCACAGCATGGGAGCTCTGTGTTAGTACTCTTGCTGGCTTTTGGAAATGTGACAGGACAGTGTGGCTGGCAGCTGGAACCCCTGATAAGTAGTCAGCTCCCTGCTTTTCTGTTTTGTTTACAGTGCTGGTTGTCAAACCCAGAGCCTTCGAATTGAGTTACATCTCCCAGCCAGCCCTTTCTTTTTCTTTTTACTTTCCTTCTTTTCTTTTTTCTTTCCTTTTTTTTTTCATTGTTGTTTGAGACAAATTCTTGCTAGCTCCCCAAATTGCCCAGTTTGGGACTGAATTTGTAATCCTCTTGCCTTAGCCTCCCAAAGTGCTTGGATTATAGGTATGTGCCACCACGCCTGACTGCTTTTATTTGTTGTTCTACATTGCCATCCTTGATAAATAAACACTGTAAGCCTCCTCCTTCCTAGCCAAGCCCATATATTAAAGCTACACACTTCATCTCCTTAGCTGCTAGCACTGTTGGCAGGAGCGCTGGCAATAGAATATGCAGGACTGTTCTAGAATAATCCTTAGCTTTAAGTATGCCACAGACACTGACATGGCCAGGGAGTTCTTTGGCAAGGATTTGTCAGAGAAAAAGAGAAAGAAGAAGCAGTTCGAAAACAGGAGGATATTATAAAGGGAGAGAGAAAGAGAGACAATGAGAGAGAAATGAAATGAGAAGTGTTCAGGAAATGTGGGGGCAGGCGGATGGTGGATATTCAGGTCGTCCAGTAAGACAGTGAGCGCCTGTCTGCTGCAGACACCTTGGGGGCAGCTAGGATGGGATCACTTGTCTTGGGTCAGGCATTGTGACTCCCATCAAGGGTAGCACCTCAGCAGCCTCTATTGAGGAAGGAGGAGGAGAGATCATGCCTGGGAGCCACCCAGACAGCCCTTTGCAAGGTGGACCAGGCATGTGCATCCTGCTACACTGAGGCTCCATTGTCCTGGGGCCCAGAGGGATTTGGGGTAAGGATCTCACAAAGCTTTCTTCCCTGGCTCAGCATCAGGGTGTTGGCAGGACAGAAATATCATTGTCCAGAAAAAGAGGGAAGGGACCTAAGGGTGCTTCTCCGACTGCGGCTGGCTGGCAACCCCAAGGCTGGCCCAGCAGAGTGCACTATGTCCCTGAGGAAAGGCCCGATCCCTGTTTATTTGTCCCATGCCTGCTCCTGTCTGAAGATGTATTTCAGGTGTCCTGAATGTAGAATGCCTGGCTTCTTGCCTGAGGGCCCAACCAGGCATAGTCCTCCAGACACAATTGAGCTTTGCTCCAAGCACCCTGAGGACTCCCAGGGTTTCCAGTTTCTTAAAAAAAAATTTCTTTTAAGTACATGATGCATTTGTATTATTCATAAACCAGACTTCACCTGAAAAGAATGCAGTGACAATTGTCAACACTCTGTCACAGTCACCTGCGCTTCTCCCCGCCTGTCCTGGGTCACCCTCTTGCTACTTAGAGCCTGATGTGTCCTTCCAGTATTTATGCTGGGACACACAAATACTTCTCTCCTGTCCCATACAAAAAGAGGGCTGCCATAGACGCCTCTTCCCCAGCCCAGCCCTGGAGCAACATGCCTTGGCTACCTTTCGAGGTTGTCCACTTAGCTACCTGTCCAGTTGTCATGGCCCATGAGTGATGTTCCCTGGTTCCCCACACCCCCAAGTCCTGTTGTGCTGCTACCCCGCATTGAATGAGACCTGCTCACTTTCTGTTCTTCAGCCTCTGCGGACCACCTGCACTTACCACCCACCCCTCCCAGCAGCCATAGCAGTGACTCAGAGGGCAGCCTGAGCCCCAACCCACGCCTGCACCCCTTTGGCCTGCCTCAGACCCACAGTCCTGCCAGGGCCGTGCCCCGGGGCCCGTCTGCCCTGTCCAGCTCTCCTCTCCTTACAGCTCCGCATGTGAGTATCACAGGGCCTTTCTGGGTAGAATAAACCTGCTCCCCACTTTTTTTGGTGTGGTAAACTGGGAACTCATACTGAGCTGAACCCCAGCCCTTTTTATCTGGAGACCAGATGTCTAAGTGACCAAGCTGGTGACACTGGACTCAGACCTGCAACCTCAACCTCCATGGTGCTGAGAGTACAGACACGTACCACTACATTGGCATGAGTTTTACTGTCTTAATGAAATCTATTTAATGGCTAAGTGCCTTACGCTGTTTTGTGTTGCTGTACCAAAATGCCCAAACTGGCTACAATTATAAAGATTGTATTTTATTTAAATTTACCTGTTATAAATTGACAAATTTTTGAAGACTATATAAAAACCAATTTACCAGTTCGCTGGTTTTGTTCTGTTGTTCTTTGGGTTTCATTTTTGTTTTTGTTTTTGTCTTTTTGAGACAGAGTTTTACTATGCAGTTCAGGCTGGCCTTGAACTTACTTTGTTCTCCAGGCTGGCCTGGAACTTGTGGTGATCCTCCTGCCTCAACCTCCCTGTTGTTGGGGTTACAGGCATGTGCCCATCTTTAGAAACCAGTTCACCTTAAGAATGATAACATATTAATGATCTCTGCTTTTTATTTGGAGAATAGAGTCCTTCTATATGTGAAAGGTGAGGGATGACTCAGAATTGCTAGCCTCAGCCTCTTGCTCACAAGCTCATATACTTGTTCTCTTTCTGCACATTTTAACACACCTTCAGTTAATATTAGAGCTGAATATTTAATGACTTACTCTTCATGACAGTCAACTCAGCCTTATAGTCTTGCTCACAAACTACCTGAGAGACAGGGTTAGCTTTGGGTCCTCCATGGGTAAGACATAGAGATGGTACTTAGTAGCAGCTCAGCTTCTAGTCTGGGCTGAGTGACATGCACCACAGTGCTCTTATCGTGGCTGGACAGCCAGAGACACTCATGGACAGGTCCTGTACATTTGCAGGTCCTATACATATGTCTGTAGGACTCAGATGCATGAGCTGTACATGGAGGGGAGGGGCAACCCAGTGTATAAGACTACATTATAAAAGTACATCTTCACCACAGTCTGCACAAAGTACGTCTTCACGAAGAACCACAAAACTCTTGCACCGAGCAGGGCTCCAAGGGGACCCTTCACTCCAGGGCCAGGAAATCTCCAAGCACGTGGACCGTGAACCCCATACTTATGATGCATAGGGTGCTCGTGGGGTGCTTCCTGGGAATAACACACAGAGGCCACTTATTCTTTCCCAGGCATTCTAGTCCTCGGGTTAAAGCACTCACACAAACATTTCTTCTCCATCTTTATTACTACTTCAAGGCAGCCATGCTACATGCAGGGTACATGAGGCTCCTTCTCTTGCATAGTCTTTTTTAGACTTTAGAATAGGGTTTTACCACCTCAGCTCACTTTCCCTTCTAGCTGAGCTCTCTGTGCTCCTTGATCTGCACAGAAACTGCAGGGATCAGGCCCACTGGTCCTGACGGAGGAGGAGAAGAGGACCCTGATTGCCGAGGGCTATCCTATCCCCACCAAGCTGCCCCTGACAAAATCAGAGGAAAAAGCCCTGAAGAAAATCCGGAGGAAAATCAAGAACAAGGTGAGTCCCCCAAATCTTGGCATTTCCATGAGCAGAGGCAGCAGATGTAAGCCCAAAGGTCCTCCCTCCCTTCCTAGGGGGCAAAGCTGCCCCGTCCCATGGTGGGGGTCAGGCTTAGGCCTCCCCTCCCTTGGCCAGAAGAGGGGCACCCTCTAGAGAAACATCAGCTCCAAGTTTCTACACATCCAAGCCCAGCTGTCTTGTTTAATATCACAGTTGAGCCACACAAGGTCCAGAGAGTTGGCATTGCTTATTGGAGGCCTTAGCCATGATTTGATCCCCACAAGTTGGTTTTGGCTTCTGAGAAGCCAGTTGCCCCCTTCAGTGTCCCAGATCAGTGGGAGATTAGTGCCAGCATAGACTGGTGGGACCAGCAGCGACAGAGAGGTGGCCGGAGAATAAGCCAGCAGGTTAAACAGATGGGAAGCGGCCACAGAAGTGAGCAGCACTTTTCTGAGGTCTGTGCATCAGCCTCCTGTCTTCCTCACCCATGTAATGAACTCATCCTTTCCCTGACATTTACTTCTCAGATTTCTGCGCAGGAAAGCAGGAGAAAGAAGAAAGAGTACATGGACAGCTTGGAGAAAAAGTAAGCTACTGAGACTCTGGTTGTGTCTGGGTACATATTCACAGAGAGACTACATGGGGGCGTCTGGGAGAAGCCAAACACCTCTTCCTGGTTGCCTCTAAAACCCAGTTTATCTGTGTCTTGCCTGCCACCTAGTGGTTGTCTGGGGGTGGAACAAGGGTGGCAAGAAGCAAAAATTGCCCTCTGTCTTCCTAGGCATTTGAGCAGCATGTGTCCAGCCTGGGTGCTGAGGGGATGGGGACAGCCTTTCACACAAGGACAAACATTGACATTTCACGTGTTCCTGGAGCTCCTCAGAGGAGACACACAGTTTCAACCCAAAGAAACAGTTGTGTTTAACAAACTCCCATTGGCCCTAGTCCCTATGACTAAAAAAACCACATGTAAAGTGGGTCAAGTTGCAGTTTTCATTTTCTGAACACCATAGTTCATGTGGGGGTGAGTGAGTGACTTTTTCCAACAACATGAAGCCACCTTTTGTTCTTCTGAAGAGCCTAGAGGGCTGTTAGAAAAGTATAAATTAATCTTTTTTTCTGGTGCTGGGGATTAAACTCATGGCCTTCACACTGAGCTATATCCTCAGCCCCTTTAAAACATTTTCTTTCCTTCTTTTTTTTGTGAGGATCTTGTGAAGTTTCTAAGTGGTCCAGGCTGGGCTTGAAAACTCCTGCCTCAGCCTCCCCAAGTGCTGGAGTTACAGGCATACACTGAATACAGTTCTTATTAGCCCTAGAAAATCATTCTCCAGCTGGACAGCAGATATGCAAATGATAGAAGGCCCTTGATGAGAAATGAGTCTTGCCTTGATCTGGGAGGAAAAGTGGTTATCAGACCCTGGCTGGTTCAGAAGTCCTATTGGAAGTTAGGGTGTCTGTCACCTGGTGTAGGGTTAACTAGCTCCGTTCCAGTCTGTTGTTTTCTATGGGACGTTCAGACTTGGGACGGTGCCATGAAGATTTCTTTGCTGTCTCTTATGGGCACACAGACTGCAAGACCCAGGGGCCTTTTCTTGGACTCGTGTTTTTCTTATTCCCCCATCAGTTCCCATGGCTTCAGATCATTGCCTGTGGCCAGGAGTATAGTAGCAGATTCAGCTTTGTGCAGTCTGCAGGAGAAGTGTGAGCACAGCAGGAAAGAAGTTGTCATGAAGAGCTTATGTGATGTACCATCCTGTTTGCCTTCTTTTTTTTTTTTATACTTTTTTTTTTTTTTTTTTGTCTTTTTCCTTTTTTCGGTACCGGGGATCGAACTCACGACTGCCTACTTGTAAGGCAGGTGCTTATGCCACTGAGCTAAATCCCCAGCCCCCTGTTTGCCTTCTAACACTGAGGCCCTTGTTACTCAATTCTGCCACCCACCTTTTTTTTTTTTTTTTTTTCTGTCTCCTCATCTACTTCCCAGCTCAGGTTGGCTCACTTCTTCCCCCTGCTTTCCTAGATCCCACCTACCTCCACCCAAGCTTCTGGTTGACTGTGTATTCTAGAGAGAACAATGGATTTTCTTTTCTCTCTTTCCTCTGTAGAGTGGAGTCTTGTTCAACTGAGAATCTGGAGCTTCGGAAGAAAGTAGAGGTGCTGGAGAACACCAATAGGTAACTGGCTGGAGTGAAAGCTGCCCGGATTGCCTGATGGAAAATAGGGAGGAAGGGATAGAAGCCAGGAAGCCAGGGTTAGAGAGGGGAGGAAGGTGGGACAGGGAGTCCCTCTTAATGTCCCATTAAAAGTCACAACAACTTCTCTCTACCTGCTGGTCATGCTAAACACGTGTGCAGATTCATGGGCATATATACAGTACACAAGCACATACCCGTATGTGCACATATGTATGCACAGTACAAACAGAGGCATGTGGACACATGAACACACTGTATATGCGCTCTTGCATACATGTATATCCACATACATGCATCCCTTAATTTTCCTAAAACTGAAGAATTGATGGAGAGGCTGAACAGGACAAGTACTATCATAGGAAAGTTTTAAAGGAATCTTAAAGAGAAATAATTCCTTAAGTGTAATTTTTCTGGAGATGCCACCAAATTTTGGATATGGATAGGGAGGGACTAACCATTTCATTGCCACCTATTTTTAGTAATAAGTGATGCTCATTTATTTTAAAAATAAAGAAAGAAATTTTTTTTCTTAAATATTTTTTCAACTGATGAATTACTTTTTCAGTCCATTTTGAAAAACTGATAATGCGACTAAGTTAATGGGTTCTTTCAGTACTTGTGCCAGGTATTATTTTAGCATGTTGTAGGTACTAAGTCACTTAGCCCTTTGTACGGTCGTGATCCCCTTATATGGATGAGAGAACTGGTCCAGAAAGGAGCACAATGACATTTCACTCTGGATTATAGCTAAGGGGCTAAGGACGGGAATAAGAAACAGCTGTTGAGAATTTTCTGCATATGTGTGAGTATGTGTGCATTTGTGAAAGAGTACGCACGCGCTCGTCAGAGCGTCTTGCCACCTTAGTGTTACAGCTCCAACATACAAAGCAGAGGAAAATTGGCATAAGACAAGATGAGAGAGTCGTTTCAGTGCTCAGCGTGAATGCTTCATAACAATTCTGTAAAGATGATGGGGTCAGGTTGAATCTTTTTGTATGCTCTGGTAATAACGTCGCATCTGTTATGCATTTCTGGATCTCCATGACTTGTTCAAACAGCAGCTATTGTACTCAGAATTTAACACTACCATGGGAGGGAGCGTGAGGCTGGAGCTTCCCCTGCGTGTCTGGAGTTTCCCCTGTGTGCCTGGAAGCTGGAATGGGTGACACAGGCCAGTGGAACAGAGTTCACCTTAAGTGCTCTGCAGAGGCTCCTTCCTGCTGGTTTCTAACTCCCCTGTCAGATGGTGGCTTCACGGCTTGCCCTTGGCTGGCAGTCTCCCCGAGGCCTCTGTCTCTCCTTTACGAACCTGCCCTCACTCTTGCTCCCCACAATTTCTGGAAGTTTGCTGGTTCTCTGGCTCCTGCTTCCCAGGCAGAGTCTGTAAATAGCTCTTCAGCACCTTGTGCAGATGGGAGTCTTCCTCACACTTGCTAATGGGAAACCCTGTGTCCCTAAGCGGGACAAATCCTGGTTATGATGGAGAAAGGAGGAAAAACACTTACCAAAGATGACTTTGGAGGTCCCTAGCACTCTCCCTACTGTCAGACCTGTGCTCAGCCACAGGGGGGCAGCAGAGCGCAGGAGGCTGGGTTGAGGCCCAAAGGACGCTTGGGAAGAAGGACCACAGAAGCCACCTGGTCTGGGCAGGGAGCTTCCCGCCTGCTCCAGTGCTGCACCTGATTGATTAATTGATTGATTGATTGATTGATTGATTATCTTGAACATTTTTATTTTTCCCTGTTAGTTTCAATGACATATCCAAAAAAGGTCCATACATTCTGGTTGGCTGATAGGCCCATTAGATATGCTTTTCTTTTTATCTGTAAGTGTTTTATAGTAGAGAACTGAACCAGTCTTTCTGTATTTGCCACAGTTCCAATGATCTTGTGGTGCCATTTAGCACAGGCTACTGTACACTGTACTTTGTTTTTGTTTTTTGGTAGGGATTCTTCATAGATTCTGCTGTTTTATGTACCTCAAGTACCTAAAACCTGGTTTTCTGATACTGGCAGTTTCTAGTAATTGTCTAGCCAGATCAGTACCATACGGGCTTGGAAATAGCTTTGTAAAATCGCATCAATTTCTGTTACTAGTTATTAGCAGAGTGATTTTCCAAAGTAAAGTCTCTCATCATTAATGAACCCGAGAGAATTGCATCTCCTCTATGTGTGTGCCCACTGGTGAGATGGTTGAGTCCTGTGACATTTCCATTTTTAATCTTTTAAGGAGTCTCCACTTTGTCTTCTGTAATGATTGTACCAATTTACACTCCCATCAACAGTAGGATATTCCCTTTTGTCCTCACTTGTCATAGTTTGCCTTTTAGACACCCTGACAGTAGGGTGACAGCTCATGATTTTGATTTGTATTTGCCTGATAATGAGTAATGTTGAGCACTTTTTCCATGTATCTTTTTCATTTAACATCTTCTTTGGGAAAATACCTCTTTAGTTCCTTTGCCCACTTTTAAATTAGGTTTTGTTTGTTTTTTCATATTTTCTCATTGAGTTACATGAATCCCTTGTGAATTTCAGACATTAACCCCCTCTGATATCCAATATATGGTTTTAAATGTCTTCTGCCAGTCCATAGCTTGCCTCTTTATATTTTTGATTGTTTATTTTGCTGCACACTTTTTAGTTTGATGGAGCTCCACCTGTACTTCATATTTTTTAAACCTAAAAGAAGATAAGATATGAACATACTATATGGCTATTCTAAAAAATTTTAGATATATTTTTTAAAACCACAGTCCTTTCACTTAGAGACATTGTTGCATTTTTGGACTATTTATATGTATTTATTTTAATTTATATCATATTCCTGTATTTGAAGCTATTTAGATTTAATAAAATACATTAGATGCTTTTTCCTATCATGTCAGTACACATCTTCACGTTTGTTATTTGAGTCTCAGTCTTAAAAATCTACCTCAAAGCTGGACATAGTGCTGCACACCCCTAATCCCAGCACTTGGAAAGCTGTGCCAGGAGGATCACCATGAGTTTAAGCCAAGCTGGGCTACACAGTGAGGTCCTGGCTCAAAAAAAAAAAAAAAAATCTAACTCATGACACAGGTGTGTGAGGCTTCTCTGATGGGTGGCTGTGACTGAATGTGACCATGGCTACCCTAGATCACCCATCATTAAAGCAGCATTACTAATTATAGCCATATGCTCTACATTGGGCCCACAGAACTTACCTGCTGTACAAGTGAAAGTTTTCAGCTCTTGGGCCAACAGCTCCTCCCTTCGCACCTCCTAACCCCTGAGAATAGAACCCCCACTTCTATTCTCTTGTTTCTGACTTTGACTATTTCCTTTACAAATTCTAAATGTCAGCGAATTGTTTTTCTCTATCTGGCTTCTTTCATTTATAAGTAGGGTGCATTTGTTGTCTCTCCCCACTCTGCTGTGTCCCTTTCCTTCCAGTAGCCTCTGCTGAGGTTCACACCGCTGACCTGTGTGTTCTCGTCATTTTCCCTCAATGCAACTTCCTTCCCCAGGTGGACACACTTTCATGATGGGAATGGCTGACCATTGATTCCTTGCAGTCTTTTCATGGATAGTTGTATTAGGGAGCTCCTGGGCTTATAATATCTAACACTAGTAGCTTTGAAGCTTTTGAATTTTTTTTTTTTTTTTTTTTTTTTGCATGAGATGCAAATAAATCAAAGGGAAGCTACTATATAGTTACGGGCAGGGGTGGCAGGTCTGTCATCCTTCCCAGTCCTTCCTAGTCCTCTCCACCTTTCTCTCCCCATTTTTGGCTGAAGGGTGCCTCATCATGCAGACACCACACTAACCAAAATGACTCAGTGTAAACGCCCCACCTCCCCCAGCCAGCTGCAGCAAACTGGTGACTGGAGCATGTAGCAAGGGATGACTTCTGGACCCTGAGTCACATCTCATTGTGTTTGAACTAAGCACAGGGCTGGGCTCAGCAAATGCACAGCTGTGTTTGTGCTGCTGAAGTTCTGCCCTGCTTCTTGCTTTATGTTTCTTTGGAGGCAGCTGCACAGAAGTAGAAATAGCTTCTTTGGGTGGACAGGACCCTGGGCCACCAGAAGGAAAGACCTTGGGCTCTTTGCCATGACCTGGCATGGCCAGAAAGGCAAGTGGGCATCATTTATACCTCTTCCCACCTTCCTAGTTCTAGGCTACATCACACAAGGACTTTTCCCGTCTCTGCAGATGGACAGTAGTGCTTGAGTGATAAACAGATCATGAGTCTTTTTATTTGTTCCAGATTAGCCAGGAGCCTCCTAGGATATCACTGGTTTCTAAGGAAAAAATATGGTCTCATCTGTGCCCAGGACACTGGAAGGGGACAGGGCCAGCTGGGACGTGAGGCATTCTCTTCACCTTTCTTTCTTCAGCTTTCCCGCAGGAACCTCTTGGAGAAAGCTGACATGGTGTGAAAGCACCTTCACACTTGCTTTGCTAAAGTGATCCACTAATTGCATGGCATCAAGAGATGTGCAGGGTGGAAGTGAAATGGTTTCCCAGGGGCTTTTCCTTCTAAGTTCAATCAGGAAATACGTTTTCACTTACTGAAACAGCCTCTGCCTTTCTCAGCTTATCATTGACCTCAAACTCAAATGGCCCAGCCCTCATCTCACCCCTGAGGCATCCTGTTCTTCCCTCTGTAGTCTTTTTGAAAAACTAGCACAGTTTCCCTAACCAGCCTTTCACTTTTAGGTGCTCTGGGCTCAGTTTGCTCCTTTTGTTGTTTTCTTCTTATGTTTCTGTTGGACCGTAAGCTACAGTTCCATTCCTCCAGCACTGATTTCTAGAATCATAAAAGTTTAGGTTTGAAATTAGAGATCACCTTATTTATCTGCTGCTCGTTTTATTTTATGGGAAAGGCTGAGGCCCAGTGAAGTTAAAGTCATCCAGTCCTTTAGAGGTAGAACAGTGACCAGAACTCAACCACTTAATTCTCGCCTCATTTAATCTTGATTTCTCCTTCTACTG